TGGTAGTTGTATTGTGATGGATCATCCAATCGGTGGGGCAGCGGAGCCGGAGTTGTTATCATGGCTCCCGACGGCGCAATAATTGAGCAGGCTATCAAGCTCGGCTTCGAAGCGTCAAATAACGAAGCCCTTCTAGCCGGTTTGCGGAATGCACATCTTCTGGGTGCTCGGCGTTTACTTGTATTTTGCGATTCAAAACTGGTGATCAATCAGCTAACGGGAGAGTATGCGGCAAAAAACGACCGTATGGCGGCTTACATGAAAACAACCAACTCCTTGCTAGCAAAATTTGACCATCATGAATTGAACCAGATAACACGTGTTCAGAACACACATGCAGATGCCCTTGCTTGCCTAGCCTCCGTCATTAACTCAGAGATTAAACGGACCATCGAAGTAGGTTTCATCCCGAAGCCGAGCATTGGCCATTCGGAGGAAGTCCAGGTTAACGTTATAGAATCTGGACCGAGTTGGATGGATCCCATTGCTGCATTCCTGTCTTCCGAACAGCTCCCAGAGGACAAGAAAGAAGCCCACAAGTTGTGAAACAAAGCCTGCGATACTACTTGGATCCACAAGGAAGACTTTATAAAAAATCCCTCTCTGGTCCATATTTGGAATGTGTGCACCCGGACAAAGTTGAGGAGCTTCTGACTGAAATACATGAGGGCAGTTGTGGCGCCCATTCTGGCGGGCGGTCCTTGGCTCATCGAGCCGTGACATAAGGGTATTATTGGCCGACAATGAGAGCAGATGCCGAATGTTACGTGAAAAAGTGTGAACAGTGCCAGAAGTTCTCTCCTTTGACCCACCTGCCTGCTGAAGAGCTAAGCTCCATAACCAGTCCCTGGCCGTTCGCCCAATGGGGACTTGACATCATCGGACCACTGCCTCGTGCCCCGGGTAACAAGCGATTTTTGATTGTCGCGACAGATTATTTTACAAAATGGGTAGAAGCGGAGGCACTAACACACATCTGAGATACCGACGTGAAGGGCTTTATTTGGAGAAATATCATCACACGATTTGGTATTTCGAGAGCACTTATCTCAGACAACGGCACCCAGTTCGATTGTGGCGTCTACCGAGAGTTGTGCAGCAAGTATGGTATCCGGCCTTACTTTTCCACGCCGGCCTATCCACAAAGCAATGGTCAGGTTGAAGCCTCTAACAAATCCATCTTGGACGGCATCAAGAAGAGGCTGGAGAAAGCTAAAGGCAAATGGGTCGAAGAATTGCCGAGTGTCTTGTGAGCTCATCGAACTACGCCGAGACAATCTATTGGGGAAACGCCGTTTGCCTTATGCTTTGGGACCCAGGCAATCATACCTTAGGAGATCAGCCTCCCAACCTTGAAATCGACAATTTTTGATATAGGCCAAAACGACATGATGCTGGCCTTGGATTTGATTCTGATTGAAGAACGAAGAGACCGTGCCCTCGTATCCATGGCTCGGTATCAACAGTAGCTTGCTAAGTCGTATAATCAACGTGTTCAGCTGCGCCGCTACACACCAGGAGAGTTGGTCCTGAAGAAGGTGCTTCCAACTGCCAAGAAACCGGCGGATGGAAAATTGCATCCTAACTGGGACGGCCCCTATCAGATTGATTCGATCGCGGGAGTAGGGGCATATCGGCTCAAAGACATGTCAGGAAGGAGTCTGCCACGGCCTTGGAATTCCACACATTTATGCAAATTTTATCATTGACCTGACTTGTGGGACATGATGCTTGTTCTGAACGGTTCGCCATGTACATCTCATTTTCTGTAATGCAAAGATCCCTATTTACTCACTACAAAATCCAGTTTAAAGGTGTTCCGATAAAAGCCTCCGGATTTGGATTGCCCTTCGTGGATATCATGATTGGCCAAATAGTCTCCTGATTCGGAGCCCCATCGGCGCATGACGTCTTTCGGCTGAAAAAGCCTCCGGATTCGGAGCGCCCTTCCTGGATATCACGATTGGCCAAATAGTCTCCGGATTTGGAGCCCCATCGGCGCATGACGTCTTTGGGCCGAAAAAGCCTCCGAATTCGGAGCGCCCTTCGTGGATATCACAATTGGCCAAATAAAGTCTCCGGATTCGGAGCCCCATCAGCACATGACGTCTTTGGGCCGATTAAGCCTCCAGATTCGGAGCGCCCTTCGTGGATTTCATGATTGGCCAAATAGTCTCCGGATTTGGAGCCCCATCGGCGCATGACGTCTTTGGGCCGAAAAAGCCTCCGAATTCGGAGCGCCCTTCGTGGATATCACAATTGGCCAAATAAAGTCTCCGGATTCGGAGCCCCATCAGCACATGACGTCTTTGGGCCGATTAAGCCTCCGGATTCGGAGCGTCCTTCGTGGATATCACGATTGGCCAAATAGTCTCCGGATTTGGAGCCCTATCGGCGCATGATGTCTTTGGGTTGAAAAAGCCTCCGGATTTGGAGCGTCCTTCGTGGATATCACGATTGGCCAAATAAAGTCTCCGGATTCGGAGCCCCATTGGCGCATGATGTCTTTGGGCCGAAAAAGCCTCCAGATTTGGAGCGCCCTTCGTGGATATCACGATTGGCCAAATAAAGTCTTCGGATTCGGAGCCCCATCGGCGCACGACGTCTTTGGCCCGATTAAGCCTCCGGATTCGGAGTGCCCTTCGTGGATATCACGATTGGCCAAATAAAGTCTCCAGATTCGGAGCCCCATCGGCGCATGACGTCATTGGGCTGATTAAGCTTTTGAATTCGGAGCGCCCTTCACGAATGTTCAGGCCGTGCGTAACATAATTATGCCGATTAAATACTTAATGTAGAATGCTCTCATATCGAGCCGACAAAACCCGTTTATACATCAAAGCATATAAACATTCGGAATGAAATGCCTAGTTGTCTCGGGCCGGTCAATGTTTATACAATGAAAAACAAAACACGTGTATGCCGAATAAATATTCAATTTTCATGCATTTATACAATCAAACATAAAACATGCAAACACGTGTGTGCCGAATGAAAATTACAACAAAACACATTTAAAATAAAACATTTTATTCAATCAGGCAATGATTACATAGTTTTGAATGCGATTTGCGTTTAAACATCCCAATGAGTATTTTTATATGGCGTTGCTCTCATCCTTGCTCTGCTCGACTTCAAAGACGGAAAACGGAAAATGATTACGTTGGTAGAGCGGCGATGCCGAATCAATGCCTGACGCTCGGAGAGCTTCCGCGGCTTGAGATGCCTTGATCCAACCGTGCTTAAATCCACGATTTTCACATCGGCAAACCTCTTCGGTGAGTTTCTCCTTGGTCTTCTGAATTTCGACCTTTCGGCCGTCATGGAAACCTTTTTCATAGGCCGCGGCCCTCGCTGTCTCAATCGCGAACATGCTAGCCGTGTTTCGATCAGCAATATCATCACTTATCAGCCTTTAAGTCACCCTCCCACAACCGGATTGGGTTGGCGACTCGGCAGATTTGATTTTCCTTAGCTCACGCTCGGCCTTCTCCGCACGAGCTTTTAACTTCCGAATGCGTTCATCTCTTTGCTCTATATTGCGCCGGGCGGCACGGAGATGCATGCCAATTTCATAAGTTGTGTACTGCCCCTTCACCGCCCCGTGAACGCCTTCGCGAAACACTTCGAAGTCCTGCCATCCTACCATCGACTGCTGGACTTCGGGTGGAAAAATCTGTCTGGCGAACTCGACTGCCACATTTGGATCTTGAACGATCGAGTCCGCCTCCGTCATTGGTCTATTCCCCACGAAGACAGCAAAACTCAATGGGCATGGAGTCACGTCGGATTCCCTTCCAGAACTGGGCTGAGGAGCTTTGCCCTGAGGCTGCTTATCCCTCCTGGGCGACCTACTTTGACGACGAGGAGATTGAAGTCTCTCCCGATCCCTCGAAGTCCTACTTCCTGTGCGTGACGGTTCACCAGTTTGACTCATATCTCCTCCCAGCTCAGCTAGCGTCCTTGCTTCCCCCCTGCTATTGAAGAAAAGTCTACTTGACATACGCATTTGTTTAACCTTCCTCAAAGAGCTGGACTGAGTTACTGACTGAGCATATAAATAGGAACTCAAAGAGAAGTCTACGCGCCCATTTATTCCCTACAAGGGCAGCACCTCCGAGGCAATATCATTAATACTGAAACCTCAACAGCCCCGCGTCGACTGAGTCATATGCCCCAATCATCCATCAACCACTGTTATTCGGTGTTTAATGTTCATGAACCAACTGGGGCAAGGGAAGATTCATCAATCTTGTCGGCTTGAGTGCCCCAGCCGTTCCACACATCGACTCATCAATACAATATTCATAAGTTCATGTTATTCAGCATTTAATGTTCATGAACTAGCTGGGGCAAGGGCAGATTCATCAATCTTGTCGGCTTGAGTGCCCCAGCCGTTCCACGCATCGACTCATCAATACAATATTCATATGTTCATGTTATTCGGCGTTTAATGTTCATGAACCAGCTGGGGCAAGGGCATGCGACGGGGCCCTGAGTTGATTTACTTGTTTGGATAAATTAAGGTTAAATTAATTGCTAAGTTACATTGTTATCCAATTAGCAACTATGCAGTGGGATATTTAATCTACTCATCTTATGACCCTACTTTCTATCGGATCAATAGTTAGCAAGCACAACAGACAGTAATCATTTTATCCAAGGTAGTGAAAAGTAAAACTCTTCATTAAAATCAAAAACTGTGTACAACTAATAGTGAAATGAAAAGGAAATTTTCATTAATAAATTGAGTGCAGATAGTAACTAATTTATACATGAAAATTACCTTGAACTAACAGAAATCTACTAAACAAAAACATACATTGAAATTGAAAATACTTAATAAAACTAGAATGTCTCTCAAATCAATCCTCGGGATCAGACTCAAGTGGCTCAACGTCCACTTGCTCGTATGGAATTGGCATAGCCAATGCAACTCCAGCGACAGCAAGGGCTTTGAGCCACCCATGTTTGAATCCCCGATTCTCGAATTTGGGGACTTCTTCTACGTAGTTCTCAAGGGCGGCGCTCTTTCCAGCCTCGAACGCCGTAGAAGCCTCAGAGTCAGCTTTTTCCTTGGCCTTCCTCAACTCTTCCAACTCGGCCTCCACCTTGGCAAGTGCCTCATTGGCTAACTTGAGCAATTCCTCGCTCGCGTTCGCCCTCTCCTCGGTGTCGGATCTGAGCCGATCAGCAGTCTGAGCCCTCTCCTTCTCATCTTCGGCTTGAGCACTTTCCATCGCGGCTCTCATCGCTTCGAACTCGGCTCTACTCCTCTCACCTTCAGCTTCCGACTTCAGGCGGCCAATTCTTTCAACGGCATCGTGTTGGTGGCAGCCTAGTTTGGCTATCCTTCCAACCGTCTGTAAAATAAGGAGTCAGGATCATCACATACCAAGAAATATCGTATGCAAACCAAACCAAACTGAGCCATCCATGTTTGAATCCCCGATTCTCGAATTTGGGGACTTCTTCTACGTAGTTCTCAAGGGCGGCGCTCTTTCCATCCTCGAACGCCGTAGAAGCCTCAGAGTCAGCTTTTTCCTTGGCCTTCCTTAACTCTTCCAACTCGGCCTCCACCTTGGCAAGTGCCTCATTGGCTAACTTGAGCAATTCCTCGCTCGCGTTCGCCCTCTCCTCGGTGTCGGATCTGAGCCGATCAGCAGTCTGAGCCCTCTCCTTCTCATCTTCGGCTTGAGCACTTTCCATCGCGGCTCTCATCGCTTCGAACTCGGCTCTACTCCTCTCACCTTCAGCTTCCGACTTCAGTCGGCCAATTCTTTCAACGGCATCGTGTTGGTGGCAGCCTAGTTTGGCTATCCTTCCAACCGTCTGTAAAATAAGGAGTCAGGATCATCACATACCAAGAAATATCGTATGCAAACCAAACCAAACAAGGAGTAAAAAAGATCAAGTCACATACCAGAAGGGCCGATTGGACAGCTAACGCTATAGCTACCAAATCCGGCTCTGCTCGAAAGGTGACCTTGTTAGTTGGCAACAAGACTGAGGCAGCCAAGCTCAACGCTACAGCTGGATCCTTCAAGGCAGATGCGTCATAGGAGATCGGCGTGTTTTTGATCTTTGGTTGAACAACAAAAGGAACAACCACATCTGACTCCTCTAGACGAGGCCGTTTGTCAGCAAGGCTCTCCTCCGAGCCGGCCTCTCCCTCAGCGGTATGTTTTTTGTCCCGCTCTTCTTGAATCGGCCGTTCATTTGGAATCTGCTGTTCGGCCTCCTTATCCGACTCGGCCACAACAATTTGAGCCATCTCTTCTACAATAACGGGTTGTGAAGATTCAATCGGGGCAGGTCCAGAACGGGTGGCCTCGACTTTCTATCCCGTGGCCATGCGTTCGGTATTTCTCTTTCGCGCCATTTGCGTTAGATTTTCCCCAGCCATACCTTCAGAAAAATCGCCAAGTATATCTCCCAAATCTATAAAAATATCTCCGAAGGAAAACTCCACTTGACCCGAAGTGGATAGTGGGTCAGGCTAGTTAAGACCGGCTGCCTCAAACGCCGAGTTTAGAGCCTCGTCGACCTCTTCAGCCTCCGCAACGAACTCTCTCGTTGGTTCGGCAACTACCTCGACCACTGTCTCTACATCTTGCTCCGAATCAGAAGCTTCGAAACCAATTTGCCTAAGGGTCTTGAAGCTGGAGAAGATAAGAGCCGTAAGGTGGTGTTCACTGGATGGGATCGGAATGTCGTCCGCGGCCGAGAATGTAGTATAAGTGGGCTTGTACCGCAGGAGTATATGGGTGGCTCTCTCTTTCTTCTGTACGTTTGGACGGCCAAAATACTTGAATGCAGTCTTAATCTCCGCAAGGATTGCGTCATCAGCCGAGGTCAGAATCTTCTTCAACTTATTGCCTGCAAAAACAAAGGATTAGATTTGAAGAAAAAGCCGAATAAAAGAAAGATCAATAAACACAACGAGTTACACGGAAACCTGGTTCGCCCCTCTTTCTGGGAATAGGGTCTAGGCGATCTTCGCCCTCGCCGAATTCCCAGTTGCCTCGGACATTGACCATTACATCGCCAACTCGTTTTCCAGAACTGGCAAGCATAGTTACCAAGTGATGGTCGGTGTCCTTGGCCCTGAGAAAGTAGCACCCGAGCCGAATGGAGGATTTGGCTAAAGCGTAGCAGTGCCGAATCGCCGGAATGCCAAGGTTGATCCTAAGGTGCCGGTTCAATTCCACGATTCCCATTATGATTCGAAAGAAATTCACATTGGATTGGGAAGGAATCAGACCCCAATGACGGAGGACGGCCCTAAGAAATGGGTGAAGGGGAAAGCGAACCCCGCCCTCCGTAATGGATAGGAGGGGAAAGACGATGGTATTTTGGTCCTCCCTCTTCATATCAAGGGTATTGTCCGTCACTAGAGATATATGGACATCATCAGGGATAGAAAAATGTCGCCGGAACCCAGAAATACAACCCTCGGAAAGGAGGTCTTTCAAATGCTTAGCCATTCTAGTAAGGACTCGGAGGTATTCTAAATAAAAAATGAACACGGAAAATAGGATTACAAAGAGAAGAGAAGAAAACTTACGAGAGGCAAAGGAGACAAGGAGAGACGGGAAGAAGTTGCAGAAGACGTGAAATAGATGAGGGATTCCGGCTAGCAATCCAAGAGGCTCGAATATTCAAAAAGTATGCATTCGAAGAGACTGAAGTTTCAAATCATAATAAATGCAAAAGATGCACAAATGAGGCGGGAACGTATAATGATGACCAAAAGGCGTGTGTGTTCTGACATTCACATCGGGATAGGTGAAGTCGCCTAATTTATGTTTCTCTTGAATTTTCAAATTCGAAACCAAACACACCAATTAACTGCCGTCAATGGAGAGTTTGGGGGGCAATTGTGGGAGTCGAATAATTAGCAGAATCAGAAGCATATGCTTTAGAAGATAGACATTACTCGGCCCTAACCTGCACAATTATGAGGTCGAATACAATAAATGGGCCAAGTAACTATTGAACTATGGGGCCGAATAAATAAGCAGATAGTGAGCAAAAAGTGGACCAGGCCCCGAGGCCCGGGAAATGAGTATAAATAAAGGAACAACAGTCGAAGAAAGGTATGTGAGAACGAGTATGCTTAACTTAAAATATAAGTAATCCAGAGAGAGTAGAGACTAACTTGTCCATCGGAGTGCTAATTTCGGCACCCCCGACCGGAGTGTTCATTTCTTTTCAGGTGTCTATTTTAGGATCACGAGCGTCTCCCAGGAATTACTCGGCCCTAACCTGTACAATTATGAGGCCGAATACAAGAAATGGGCCGAGTAACTATGGGGCCGAATAAATAAGCAGATAGTGAGCAAAAAGTGGACCAGGCCCTGAGGCCCTGGAAACGGGTATAAATAAAGGAACAACAGTCAAAGAAAGGTATGTGAGAACTATTAAGCTTAACTTAGAATACAAGTAATCCTGAGTGTAGAGACTGACTTGCCCGTTAGAGTGCTAATTCTGGCACCCTCGACCGGAGTGTTTATTCCTTTTCAGGTGACTAGCAGAGGATCACGAGCGTCCCCCAGGATCAGAAGAGTATTTCCAAACCATTTCTCCACAAATACATTGCCAAACCCACCCATCCTCAAAATCATTCGTTGAATATTTTGACAGTTCCAAACTAACAGCGCGAGTCAATTTATAAATTGATGATGCTATGGGATCAATGATGGATAGGTTGGACCGGCCCGTGTCTTCTATGAGTCTGTTGGCTATTGAATCTTTGATGTGTGCCTGTAAGAAGGTCCAAAGGGAGAGGTAGTCCCTTGACGGACACTCCGACGATTAAGTTAGACCAAGGGAGATAATAGTTGGTTTTTTGAGAGAGAGGAGAAGGGAATGAAAAACTTAACCTCTGACGTATCTCGAAGGCTTCCTTATATTCTTTGCTCATCATTTTCTTGTCCATTCTAAGCTGTTGTGTTGACCGAAAGTCTATGACCTAGTTAACATTGTTCATGGTGATTCTGCATACTCTAGCGTGGGGGGTCTTGCTACATTTAATGCTATAGTGGCCTCATTAAATGGCTGATGTGTGGGTGCAATAACTTTACAGGATCTTTGTCTGCTTACGTGGCTAATTCCTTACCAGATAAGTATTTGAATGTTATTGGTCCTGGGCCAGCATTGGCTTCTCAAAGTTATTGGGCTTTAACACCTGGGCCGTGAGCTGGGCCCTGAGCCGTGGGCTGGGCCCCTTTAGGTGCCCATTAGTATCATAAATTAACAAATTAATTGAATGTGAGCTATTACTCAAATTCATAAGACACAAATCAACATACAAAATAATCAAATTAAGAAAAAAATATTCAATAAATTGAAGAGTGGCTGTCATCCCATTAATGGGGATTGTGCTAAGGAAAAATTGTGTAGTAAAGAGAGTTAAATATGAATGTACATATAGACTTGTTGATTCCATAGGCGAGTTAACAAATTATAACCCCTTAAATTGATCAATCCACTAATTTTTATCATCTAACTAGGAGCCAGCATGGATTGAATTGGCTTAATTAAACCCAAAACCCAACTATTACGATTCCATAAAATTTGGAACAAAATCAAACCACGAAAATTATAAAACCAAACCAAACTAGTATATCGCAATTTTGTTCAATTTGGAACAACAATTATTTATTTTGTTCATTATTCACAACAAGAAAATAAAATTGTATGCACAACCTAATAATTATTTATCCAATTATTTAAAACTATTTCTACTATTATAAAAAAATACACTAGCAAAAATTGAGAGTTACAACTTGAGCAAACCATACTTACTAACTGATACAAACATAAACAAAACCATTAGGAACAACTAGCCTATTTTAAAAATCAAGACGAAACTACACATTGAAAAAAATCAAATTAAACCATACAATTTGATCTAGATCAAAGCAATTTGTAGTTTTTATTTTTATTTTTTTGCTCAGCCCTACACATCTAACCTACCTTACCCAACACACTTGCCTTCTCAAACCGCATAGGTTGTTTTAGGTCAATTTGTATTGGTGTGGCTGGGCAATTAGGTGGTTTTTTTTGCATACCCATAGTTGAAAGGCATGAAAATTATGCACAACAACCAAAACAATGACATGGAAACAAATCAAGTTCAAGTGAACAAGGGACTTGATGCAAGGAAATTCTAATCCTTGCAGTCAATATTATATTTATTTAAACTATTTAGGACCAAAGTGCAATCACAGAACTACATAATAATGCAAAGAATCCAAAATGCAAAAAGGACGAGCGAGGAAGAGGCAAGGGAATCTCGTATACTTATTGACAGTTCTTAACATCATATTTCATTTCAATAAACAAGGAAATATTAGTGCGAACAGTACAACAAAAGTACATAACAAGAACGTAAGAAACACATTATCAATCTAAAACAATATTCAAAGGCATGTTTGGCAAGAGGTGGTTCTATTAAGAAAGTCAAAAATCACAAAAAACTTAAAAAGCCAACAAATTCAACCCCCTTAACAAAAAAAAAAAAAAAATCATTACATCAATCAGTCACTTTTATCCTCACAATTATCTATTCGACTAAAAAAGACCATTAAACACATTAACCTTTTCCCATCTCATAAAAAAGATAAAAAGCCAAAAAAGCAACTAAAGAAACCAAATTTCCAAACAACCACTTAAAAACATCTACCTAAAGAAACCCTAATAGAGCAAGGAGTATTCCTCAAAAAAAAAAAAAAAAAAAAAAAAAAAAAAAAAAAAAAAAAAGAAAAACAAAAGCAAGGAGAACAATGCAACACACAAACATAATAGAAGCTAAGAAATCATCCAACACAAACCACCATAAACCTTAAGCTTAGACTTCACAATCCATTAGATGCATCAAGATATCAACTCAGGATATCCACATTTGATTATACAAAAAAGTAATCGCAGCTAACTAGGGCACCAAACCACACACCACAATTTATAGTATCTCATTAGTTAATATAAACCAATTGATCCAAGCATAGAGCTATGAAAAATCTTCCAATGCTCAACACGTAATTTCACAAAACAAACAAACAAACAAACAATACAAATAAGAGGTCTACAGTTTTTAAATGACAAGCCAAAAAAACTAAGAGTTGCATATCAACATAAAACATGAATTTCCAAATCACGCAGAATGTAGCAGAAGATTGTTCTTATTTAAAATCCCCAATTCTCAATCCATAGCAGAATCGGGTGAAAGGGAAAAACAAACAAAAATGATAAAAACCACATTAGAAAACA